TGTGTGTGTGTATAATATGTATGTGTGTATAATATGTGTGTGTGTAATATATGTGTGTGTGTGTGTGTATAATATGTGTGTGTGTATAATATGTGTATGTGTGTGTGTATAATATATGTATGTGTAATATATGTATTTATGTGTATAATGTATGTGTATGTGTGTATGTATGTATATGTATATGTGTGTGTGTATATATATATACATACATATACATATATACACACACCTTGCTACGTGTACTGTGTTAGGCTAACCGAGACTTGTCATTTGCACTTATATATTGTTGCTCTTTTGTTAGTTTTGACTGCTTTTATTGTCCTCATTTGTAAGTCGCTTTGGATAAAAGCATCTGCTAAATGACTAAATGTAAATGTAAAAGCAGAAAATAACATATATCTTATACTATTAGAATTAATCGGCTAGTGAATGCAATAGTTACAAGGTAACATGTTTACAAAGTAACATTACAACATTTAGATGCAACTTTTCGACTACAGAATACAATTTAGGCAGTGGTGTATATAGTACCTGAAAGCCATACTCAAATAAAAGTACAGATATTTTACCAGAAAATGACTTAGAAGTTGAAGTCACCATTTAGAATATTACTTGAGTAAAAGTCTTAAAGTATGAGTTTTTATTGTACTTAAGTACGAAAAGTATTTTTTAAATCGTAAACGTACTTAAGTATTGAAAGTATAAGTACAAGAAAATGGAAAAGAAGCAAATATATATAAATTGCATACACCGCTTGAGTAGCAAGATTGTTTAGTTTTAACTCTTTCTTCATTTTGTATCTTTGGGTAAGAATAAGAAGCACTTCATCCGGTACTTAGTGTCTTTCATTCCAACATAAGAAAACATTTCTGGAATCTGAATCTAAAATGGCATTTAGATGTATTTACACAGTTTAATGTAGCTCAGAGGGGACATGGATGCATTTAACCTGCAGTTACAGATGGATAAATAATGTTTGTTAATGAGTCATTAAGATTCAACCGATTCATTCAACGGCTGATTCATTCAGGAACAAAGCATTGACTGTGTTAATGAGTGAATCACTGAATTATTTAATCAATCGATTCGTTCAAAAAGCTGATTCATTCAATAAGTAAACACCGTCCATTGCTCAGAGACACAAAACTGCTCTGATCTTTGTTTGGAACCATTTTCGTTGGCAAAAACAAGCAATATTGTGTCTAAAAAAAGTCACTTATTGCTAACTTTACTGAACTTGTATAAAATGATGATTAAATTCTGCTTTAAAAAATCTGCAGAAAAACGGTACTCTTTGTGTGATATAGATTGTTAACTATATTAAATTGTATAAATATAAAAAGCATACAGAAGCATTTTTGCCATCTACAATTTAGAATGCCTTAATTTGAGTTTTTATAGACTAATAAATCTCGTGCAAGCACTCTGTCTCTGTTTGTGTGATTTGGTGATATACTCGATATTATCGCAGAAGATACACTGTATATCGCACACCTCAGACTCGACTTGAGTGGGAAACTAAATCATCCATGGTTGTGTGAGCACTTGTTTGCACATGAGCAAAAGTTTTTTTTAGGAGTTTAACTTGCAAACGCCAGACCACGGATTCGTCTGCTTTCTGTGTTCTTCTGACTTCTTTGTAGTAAGTAACGAATATGCTTTGGGGAAGTGTTTTGGAGTAAAAGTATACATTTTAATTAGGAAATGTAGTGGAGTAAAAGTCAAAGTTGGCTGAAATATAAAAACTCAAGTAAAGTACAGGTACTCCCAAAAATACTTAAGTACTGTAACGAAGTGTTATTACTTCGTTACATTACACCACTGAATTTAGCCTATATAATAGTATAATCAAATAAAATACCAGCTAGTGAACGCAAATCACAAGTTAACACGTTTACAATGTAATATTTATAAGCAGCGTTTCAACTAGATTTGATCTTTTCACTGCAATAAAGAAATCAAGTGACATGCTTCCAAAGTATTTCTACGAGAAAATAACGGCAAAACAACGTGAAAATAACGTTACTGCGTTCATCAATTGAGACATCAGCTACAGTTTCTGAAGAAAATGTACCATGTTTTTACTATAGTAAATATAGTTTAACGATAGCGTTTGTAATTAAACTATAGTAGCCACAAATTTACATTGTCTGAGAGTCTATGAAATGTACTTTAACATCATAAACCATAAAATGTAAACACAGGTCACAAGTTAAAACGGTCACATTTGCTTGATTCGGCCAGATGCACAATGTGACGCTGAGAGTAAAATCCTGTCTTCAATCCAGAAACCTGTGGCTGAACCAGTGAAGTTTGGTAGCTTAGTGGTTCATTACGTCTGATGGCGCGGCGTCTTTTAGCGCGTGTTCGAAACCCACGCCAACTCAGACCTTTTTGTTTATTTTCCGTACTTAAGCCGCTACGGGCGATCATACCAATAATTTGTAATCTTTACAAGAATATCAAAATCATGTAATGAGCAAGTGTGCATTTATTAGACAGCTACAATATATCACGTCAGCTTGTGCTTTCAGAATCGGCGAATCTGCCGCGGGCATTCCATCACATCCGGAGCGGAGACCTGAACCAGGAAGTTGGTCACTAGATAACACGGTCACCAGTTAAACCGTAACACCCGCTTCACTAATATATTTGACATCCGACAAAATAAAATGATCCTGACCACGGAAAATAAAAGCGGAGTTGGGTAAGAAATCTAATCTTAACTAGATTGACATGTTCTTTTCTTAACTTGCAGGTTAAGTGGTTGCTATATATATATAGTTGCTTGGGCACGATAACTATATATAGGGCACAATATAGTTGTGTTATGGCCTTCTATTATGCCTACAGACATTCCTACTAATGTTATGAACTTGATGCACTAAACCATGTGATTTCTATATCATTCAAGTAGCCTACATAAATAAACCCTTTATGTAGGCTTTATATGGTAGACCTACTCTAACGAGTTTAGAGGCATTACAATGTGTTGAGAGTTTAATAGACTTGTCTTGTGCCCTGGATATTATATTTTGTTATTAAAGGGGTCATATGATGCGATTTCAGTTTTTCCTTTCTCTTTGGAGTGTTTCAAGCTCTTGGTGCATAAAGAAGATCTGTAAAGTTGCAAAGACTAAAGTCTCAATCCAAAGAGATATTCTTTATAAAAGTTAAGAGTCAACCACTCCTACCTAAAACGGCTCATTCTAACATGCCCCCACATGTCTACTTCACGATGTGGTAAGATTTGCATAACACCGCCCAAATGTTCACGCAAAGAAAGAAGGCGTAACTTTTATTCTCGCCGCCATGTTGAGGAGACGCTGTGTGTTTCGTTGTGAAAGCGAAACTACTTTGTTTGGCCTTCCAAAAGAGGACGATATCCGCTTCGTCATGCCTAGAGCTGATCCGTGCTGGTCGCTGAGGAAATACATAAACTTTGCACTGTGAATCGCCGAATCAGCTTTCACTGTAGACTAATGTTGTCAAAAGACCCGGTATTTCGGTACCAAGTCGGTACTAAAAAATGAAAACGTTACGGTAGGTTTTCTTAAGTACCGGTGGTACCGAATACCCGGTCAACCCAGTTCTTGATGCGCTATCCGAAAGCTATCCTCTTCCAGTGTTGCAAAGTCCGCGGTTTTCCCGCGGAATTGGGCTGCTTTAACACTGTTGCCGCGGGTTGTTTTTCATGTCCGCGGGTTGAAAAACGACCCCACTAACGTGATATTTAGCCCCTAGAATGCGAATTTACCAGGGGAACCTCACCAAAAAATGCGTATTTTATCCTCGGAACGCGATTTTTAACAGGGGACCCCCTCGAAACACGATTGGGCGGGTTTTGTTGTGAAAACCTGGCAACCTCTTCATAAAAGCAGTGGCGACCTCAAGAAGAGGAAACGCATCAAAACTAACAAAACACCTCGATCAAGTTCAAGCAGGTAAGTTTCAATTACATTTTTAATATTTAGAGCTTCTGTTATGAACATTATTCCATATTTTAATTTGAATTTCGGATTGAAATAAACATCGCCGTTACGCAGTAATCGTTAGCATAAGCGTGGCTAACGCTAATATAATGAGCATTAGAATTAATTTTGTTCAAAATGATTTCTTTAACTATTTAATGCTCCTATAATTTTTATTACTGTAAAAAACAAGCGGACATAATTGTATTTACTATTTTTACACACCAGAGGCTTTTAAATGAACTGTGTAACTTAACCAAAATATGCGTGTTAGAGAATTGTACAAATGTATGGTTAACAATGTTTGTCATATCAGTCCGTCAGAAAAAGTTTTTTTAGTTTTTTTAGTTAGTTGTAATTCTTGGCTGAATATCTCTAGCAGGTTTTAAAAGCCCTTTAAAATTAAATATGAACACAGTTTGGATTAAATAAAAGTACAGTCAAATTTGATCTCCTGTATAGACTTTACTGTACAATGTTAGATCTAGTAACATCTTACAGAACAAAAACAATATATTTCTAAAACATTCATTAATGTTTGTGAATGTTATTTAATACAAACAATTGATCATTCATGTTTGTTCATTGTGCATTAAATAATTTTAACATATTGAACTTTGAAATTAACCCTAAGAAAAATAATTGCCATATAACTATTGTTTATTGTTAGGTCATGTTATCTAACAAATCAAATCTTATTGTAAAGTGTTTTTAATACTACAGTTTCCATCTATTTGATATACACTTAATATTTGTAACAAGCTGAGGTTTGTTATTTCCTGAAAAGTTATATTTTAGCTGCGGTGTCAATGATCTAATGTTGTATTTGGTCAGACTCAGCCCATTGCTTTACTTAAGTATATTATATTTTATATATTATATTATATTACAGCTGCAGACTGAGGAAGATCCTGAAACACACCAGCAAAGCCTAAAACAGACAACAGTTTACAGATGTTTTTCAGTGGCAGCAGAACTATGACTAAACTTTTGGGTGAAACTT